AGAGGCAGTAGATCTAAACAAGATCTATTAATCAATCAGCCGAGTGTTTCTAGAACTCCTCATCGTAGCTAAAAATGACTTAAGAACAAATCTCTGGATCCCAGATGATGTCATCTTCCCAACGTCCATAAATTAAGTTCTCATTCTCGATTGGAAATATGGAATGCCAATTCTGAGTAACAGCCATGGCAGTTGAAGCTATGTCAACAAAGAAACAGATAAAAATTCATTCACTTGTTAAGTTTTAGTAGATAATGCCTAGATAAGATCAAAACATATGACTTTTGTAAAATTAAAAAAAAATTATTTTGAATTGAATTAAATAATACATTTGCTTTAAAAATTGAAAACTCTTCGGGACTGTTGGGTGGTCTTCTGGGTTTAGTAAAAAAACTATAGGCTTCAAAAACTGCAATTTGTCAGTTGGTACTTTGGAAATGTGGTCTCAAATTAGAGGGTCTCGGAATTAGATGGATCTTGAATTGGAGGGCCTTCATATCTTGTCAACAAAAATTGTCATTGTCACAGCGTGCATATTGGCGCTATATAAATCCTGATTGACTGATTAATTGATTGATTGAAAAAGTAAATGTTGACTGGATCTTGCGTGTGGTGCTAGTCTTGGCGTTAAGGCCGTGATGAGGATGCTTCTCCAATGAACAGAACTAATAATTTATTGGACACATACCTGGATCAGGTGCCTGGGAATTTTTGCTTCCACCTTTGTGACTGGATCCTGCAGTAGGGGTCCTACCTCCAACAAACCCTCCCTGTACACCAAAAGCTGTCGACTCAAGGTGACTTATATTTTTCTCACCTGAATAAAAAAAAAATGATTAAAAATATATACAAATTTAGTTAAAAATTAAAAGAAAACTATTAAATATAGATATATTATTAAAAATAATTTGTATCCTTCCTTGTATGCACTTGAATTTCCAGTGCCGTCATAACAAATGTCTTATGTAATGTTTTGTAAAAAGTAGTACAGAAGATAAGGTTTATCTTGTATTTTGTATTGACTTGAATTTCTGTGAAAAGAGAAAAAAAAGAACATCAGAATTACGGTGGGCCAGTGTGGGCAACCACCCTGCCTGGTTAGCAGCCTGGGTGTGCTTACCTTTTTCCTGGTGATACTAGAACGCAGTGCGGTGGGCTAGTGTGGGCAACCACCCTGCCTGGTTAGCAGCCTGGGTGTTCTTCAACACCTTGTCTTTGACATC